TGGTCTGCTGGGGTTTCTGCAAATCAGTGAATACGTGCAAAGAGACAGGTTTCTCGTATAAGGAAGAGCCGGCTAATGGAGACAGGGAGATGAGTATTGGGGCATAATGAGTTTATGAGTGGACACTGGATATCAGTGTCCTTGGCCTAAGGGGTACTGATCTGCCACCAGCCTTACGTATGCAGCTGATACTCTCCCAGCACTGAAGTGGGTGAGCTTCTCAGACTTTTTTTTTAAAGCTGATGCTTTTGTTTGTCTTCATAGCAGGAAGCCATGGTCTAATACGATTAAGGTTTCTTCCCCTCCCAAATGTATGCTCTTGTTTTGTTGCCTCTCTCCTGTGCTCTCTCTGCATATTAGCCAGATTATCTGGCCTGAAATCTGTTTAGATTTGCATAAGCAGCATTCAAAGAGCAACAGAACAGACACAGAGCTTGAGAGGCCTGTCGTTATGAATCTGCCCTCTTGTTGAGTAAATAGACTGCCAAAGGCTATCATCTGTCGAACGTGCTAATGTGGCCTCTGTTTGGTGTAAATATCACCTGATGTGGCCTGACGGATGCTCCTCCTCCTTCCCTCAAGGTCAGTTTTTTACCATGTAACCAGCATATTAGCGCGCACTGACACTCCTGGGCAGTTCTGAGGGGTGAAGACATTCCACCTGGTGCCTGGCGTTGCTGGTGTGATGGGTTGGGCCTTTGTTCCGTGGCTGGGCCAGAACACCACATCCTTCCCCTGTAACAATGAGTTAAACCTTGGGCGGGGCCGAGAGCCGCCGTCTCAGGATTCCTCACTGGTTGATTCACTGGCCCGCACTCGCCCCGCACATGCACTACTCTGAGAGACGGATTTAAGCATAGTTCCCCTGTTGTTGCTTTTGGGAAGTGGGCTGCAGTATCGCAAGTGAACTGCCATCTGCGCGCAGCCTCTCCAGGCTTAAGGTGAGCCTGAAATCCTTTGACTGAAAAACAGCGTATTTACTGTCTCGCACCGGGGAAATGAGCCACACCCTTGCTGCAGTTCCAGCCCAGTTGGGTGGCCGTGGCTCGTCTTACTGCGGTCTCTTCACAGAGCGGGACTCCTGGACAGGGGTTTGGGGTACATGTGGGGTATCTGCCTCCATGTTCTACGGGCAGGACCTTCTGATCTTCTAGTCTATTTTCCCATGTAGTTCACATTTCCTGGCACAGTGAGCAATAATATGTCAAGCTGCATTAACGAGGCCTGTTTTCTGTGTATATAGCCAGGATGCTTTGGGGGGAACGCAGGCGGCCAGCAGGCCGTTTAGCTCGGCTGTTTTCAGCCTACGTCCTATTTGGAAAGACCTGCCTCGACCCGCCAAATAAAATGGAAGGTGATGTCACTCCACCCAATTCCGATACTTCCCCGTCATTACACACCCGCTGTCACGATCACAACAGAATTGACTTTTACCCGACTGTGTTACCGCAATCATCCAGATTTTCTTTCCATAGCTGCCAGGTGCCAGAGGGAGGGGCTTTCCCCTTATTGGCCGATGACACTGTCTGCCTGGCACTAAGGCGTAATGCCAATTCCGGTGAGCAGAGGGAGCTCTCAGGGCACAGTCCAGACTATTGCAGTTTCATGCCAGTTCTCACCCTTGTAATTATGTTGTTTACAGTAACATTACGTTTGCGTTGTTAAGATTGTAAACATTATCAGCAGTATCATGTTGCAGTTTTATCAAAGAGTGTTTCAGAAAAGGGTTTATTGCCTTAAAATATAACAGCTGGGGGAATTTCAGATTTCTTGTCTGACTGGTTGTCTGTGATGGAATCCTTTACTGGTGTGTGGTTCAGAGTAAATATGTCTTTATAAGAGATCAAACTTGCCACTATATGAGTACCTCTTAGGCAAAGATTTAGCTTTAGTGCTGCAGTTAATTTATTTACAGAGCCTTTTATCCAAGGTAACATACATAATTTTGTCTGTTTGTTTGTTTAGAGAAAGCAGTGTTAGCCAGTCCTTGAAGCGATTGGGGGTTAAGGGCCTTGCTTACGAGCCCAGCGGTGAAATCAGTCTGCTGACCCTGGGATTTGAACCAGCAACCTTCTGACCACAGACAGCATTGTAACCCACTGCCCCCATTAGATAATTGTGAAGTATTAAATAGTTATATGTAATTATTTTCATTTGGTTAGCGGATGTGTTCATCCAGAAATGTATGGTTTCACAGTATCTCCATTTACATATGCTAACAATCATTAACTCCAGATTGACACTGGCTCAGCCCACACTGTCAGGTACTGTACTCAGGGGCACTCTTGTCTGATCAGGGCAGTTTCGTATGTCATTAAATTAGTTTTATTTGTTTGTTTTTGCTGTGTTTACAGACGTTTGAAAATGAAGGGGGTTTTCAGGTTTTTTGACCCTGTAACGATGTGTCTGGAGAGCTTAGGCTTCTTTTAATAAATCTGCAAGACAGAGTTTCCCAGTTTGACCGCCCTAGCCCAGTTTGTGGAAGGCCCAGACCCATTCTTTTTTATCAAACTCTGTAAGCAGGAGTTTCCCGTTTGACCGCCCTGTGCCAGTACGTAGAAGGCTGACCTCTTTTTATCAATCCAAATTAAAAGGAAAATCCCACTCTTGTGTTTCACTGGGAAACACTTTTAATCACGGCAATCAGCTGACATAGCAGCCCCCTGCCCTTCCCCACCCTGGATGGTTATCCTAAATGAGAGCGGCTCGCTTTGAATTAAGTTACAGGGTATTTAATATCAGTCATTTATTCCACCTGGCATTCAGTAACACTGGTGTTGTGCTAATCATGGAATGTCAGCTTGTGGGGGCTGACAGCATTGTGGGTAGGAATGGACTTGAGACATAGGAGGGATGCATTTTCGGAATAAACAAGGTGCACGACACACACTGTGTGCGAGTCTGTGGTTGGGGGTCAAGAATGTAAGCAGCTGGGCTAATGGAAATACATCAGACAGGTATTGCCTGTCATGACATTGTTCATGTTTACCACTCTGATAGCATTTAGCTTATTGCCATACAGTATATTTCCAGAAACCAAGTGAGGTATGCCACAGGCTGGGTTTGGACCGTCTGTATTAAATCTTGTTTTGCAGATTAAATCTTGATGTGCCTGAGCTACATTATTTGAGTCTCAGTCATTTTCCAGTTGTTTGTTTAGTATTATCCTAACAGTCAATTGCCTGTGTGTTTGGATCTGACTTTAGAATCTATTCCTTTGACAGCTTCAGGATCAGCGTAAAACCTCCAGTTATTTCCATAATCAATGTCTGCAGTTACAGGTAATGATGCAGGTTTCAACATAGTTTGAGGTTCTGTTAGTCCCTGTCCTAAATGCTAAATCATACCATAGACTTATGATCAGATGTATCATAGTACTACGCGTACGCTTCAAAACAACATATCCCAAAATAACGCTGGTATTTAAATATGTCTTGAAAATCTACGCTGTTGCGAGTTCGAATGCGAAAACATGAATTTCATGGTTTTCTATTTCCGTAAAGTATCGTCGTAAAAAAACACATGCAGATAGACGAAGTTTCTGTTTAATTACAGCGAGCGTTCGGAGGGGTGACGCAGTCGCGGGGTGGCCCGCCCACAAGAGGAGGGGCCCGATGTCCGCGAGAGACTCAGGTGCAGCACAACTTTCGGGAAAACTTCGAATGAGTAGCGAAAGCCGACGGAGAGAGACCGGCTGTAGGGGCGCGGATTTTATGGCATTTTATATGACATTTTCATGTGAACGGCACTAGTGGCCTGATTCCTATATGACATTTGAATGTTCATGTTTTTAAATTATATGGAAAATGCATTGGGAACAGTTTCTCCGTTTAAGAAAGGTAAGACCACGCACGCGTCTCGTGCGTTCAAACGTTATTTTCAACGTCGTGATTAAAATAGATCTGTCAAAGATGTTATGCTCCTTATTATATAAATCCCAGTGGCGATCATAATTCCATTTTTATTTCGAGTGGCTTGTTTTGTATCGCTTAAATGGTGTCGGCAATTACAGCGGTTAAATTTTTATTTCAGGTTCTTGTCTTCATTCATTGCGTTATACCCTGAAGTGTACACTGACTAGAGTGCTTGTCCTGGAGAACTTTTCTTCTATTTTGTTTATGTTTTAGATATCTAAGATTTCTGAAAGGAGACTTATTATTATTATTATTATTATTATTATTAGAATTAACAGTGATTTGATTCAGTAATTATTGTAAATTATGTACATTGTAGAACTGCTGGTACAGCAGATGTTTGCAGCCCGGAAAAAATGCGTGAAGTTCTTGATTTGTAATTATTGATCAAGTTTATCTCATAGATAATGTTCAGTCCAGAGTTCTCAGTAATTACCATTGTTCAGCAATTGTAACAGGCTTTTGCAAGTAAGTTCTATTTAAGGATAGATTTTTAAAGAATGCTAATGAATAAAAAGCCAGCATTGGCTTTAGCAATAGACGGCAAGTGAACGGGGGGCTGGCAAACTATTCATGACACAATAAATACACATTTATTTGGTGGGATAGAAACATTTTAGGGGGGCTGAAGCCCCTCTGGTGCCTCAAATAGCATCAAATCACTTTATCAGTAGTATTAGTAGAGTGCAGGTGAGTGAAAAACGTGTCTGCAAAGGTTCAAACAGCAGTGAGGGAATAATACAAATAATGGAAATACGAAGTATACAAAACAATAATAAAAATAAGAAATAAATATACTGCACAGTGTAAATATGAGTGAGTAATGATGTGCATGCATGTTGATGGCAGTGAAAGGGTTCATTGACCAGAGTTTAGCAGTCTGATAGTCTGGTGGAAGAAACTGTCGCAGAACCTCTACCCACAGTATCTGTTGACTGACATTTAATGTTATTTTTGAAGTCTAAAAGTATCAAATAGTGGAAGATAGTTCCTTAAATAACTTCAGCGCTAAACTGTTTTGGCTTGTTGTTCCCCATTATAGAGTGCATGGTTCAAGTTTTGTTTCTCTCTATCTCACCCATTCAGATCGAGCGGTTAGAGGTCAGTGGCCTGGTGCAGACGCCCAACGCAGTGGCTTGTGGTGCCGATGGCTCCTATTCCGTGGAGGACAGCAGCCCCGACCCCCAGCGCACGAAGCAGGCCATCACCCAGCTGCAGCAGAAGATCCTCAAGCTGACGGAGCAGATCAAGGTTGAGCAGACGGCAAGGGATGACAACGTGGCGGAGTACCTGGAACTTTCCCACAATGCCGACAAGCAGCAGCTCACTCGCATCAAGCAGGTGTTTGAGAAGAGGAACCAGAGGTCTGCACAGAGCATTCAGCAACTGCAGCGGAAGCTGGAGCACTACCACCGTAAGCTCCGGGAGGTGGAACTCAATGGCATCCCCCGGCAACCTAAAGACGTCTTCCGAGACATGCACCAGGGACTGAAGGACGTAGGGGCCAAAGTCACAGGCTTCAGCGAGGGTGTGGTAGACAGCGTGAAAGGCGGCCTTTCCAGCTTCTCACAGGCCACGCACTCTGCAGCGGGCGCCGTGGTCTCCAAGCCCAGGGAGATTGCCTCTCTGATCCGCCACAGGTTCGGCAGCGCGGACAACATAGCAGGGCTGAAGGACTCACTAGACGAGTCGCAGGGCGAGGAAAGCACCAGGCCCTTGGGCGTCGGCAGTGGTCTGCATTTTGGCAGTGAGGACGACTGCTCCAGTGCCACCTCAGGCTCTGCTGGAGCCAACAGCACAACTGGAGCCCCGGCCGGGCCCCCCAGCTTGAAAACCAACACGCTGGACAACATGCAAAACTCAGACCTTGACGCACTCTTCCACGAGGTCCGAGAGATTCACCAGAACCAGGGCCGCCTGGAGGAATCGTTTGAGGAACTCAAATCTCACTACCATAGTGACTATGCCTTCATAATGCAGGCCCTGCAAGAGGAACGTTTCAGGTACCTGATGTTGTCATCTCTCGTTATTGCTATTTTTTTTTTTTGACAGCTTCTAGTGTCACTAATAGAGGCAGAGTTTGGTAGGAGCAATCTTGGAAGGTCCTGTGTTTTTTTGTTTTTTTTTATCTTTGTCTGCAAGAACAACCTAAAGTTAGGGAGCAGAAACAGGAACTTCCTGTTCACTGGGGGCTTTAATAGTAGAACTATGTGGAAGATGCTGTAGACTAGTGTATGAAGGAGGACCATCCTGGGTCCGTAGTTTTTTAAATTGCATTTTTTTTGGCCGTCATCAAGGGAGTAGAGTTTGGTTCTTGGATGAATCTTGCATGCTGTGTTGTATACACACTTACAGTAATTGTTATGTTTATATGCCAGATCTATATCAGAAGTTGTAGGGCAACTAGGTACAGATCAATGAAAGATGTCATTGGCTTTGGAGGTCAGACTACCCAAAGTCCTGCTGGGGAGATATGACTGTTTCTTTATAGATGGCAATAATGCATTATCCATGACAGTTTTAAAGATATGCATCTCGATACAGGTGATGCCATGTCATTTCTTCATGTTGGCATGTGTTTGTATGTAATGACAACCCCATGGCAGTAGAAGCATTGAGGTGATAGATTAAAAGAGAGGCTTCTTTCCCATTTAAATCCAATCAGTCTACTACTGTAGCCTGGACACTCACTACTAGTGATAACCTGTTTAGCAATGTCATCATTCTAAAGTAATTGCTCAACTTATTATCTCAAAGAATTTCATCTGAGGTTGTGAGGGTCATGTTTGTGACCAAAGTCATCACTGCTCAGACAGTGGATTCCCAGTAAACTGTGGTAACTGAAATCTCTACTGTTCAGCAAAAAGGCCTGATGCATTATAGCATTATGGCTCCTGATATGTTTGGAATCTAGATTTCCCTCAAAAAATCAAAAAGTCAGCAGCACTCCTGTGAAATTGTCCCATAGTTTCAGAGATTACCTCTTGTTTGTAATGCTATTTGTGGGGTCATCTTTGCACTGGACTTGCTGAAGCCATGCAAAGCTCAGTCTGGTACTGAGATTCCCAGCCTGATGTTGAAAGAAAGTAAAGCAGTCAGCATTGACACAGTCCCTCATCAGCTGTATCCTCTCACTCCTGCTATATGGCTTCTGTATGGCAAGATTTGAACAAAACTATGACTCTAGTTGGGTTGAAGAGCTGAGTAAGGTGCCACTTACTTCCCCCGTTTCAGCTGAGATGAGCTGGCGCATGAGTTCACAGGCATGTCCGGACACTGCGGTCATCCTGTTTGTCATGCACTAATACTGATACTTAACTGCCATTACTTTAAACACATATCTGTTGTCATCAGGAAATGATCTTACAATCTGATATCAGTTATTTTTCTTTTGAGTTATCTGACAGATTTGTTAGGTCATTTATAAAACAGTCATAACTCGGTTATCAGGTATAAGTGGAAACACATTACACGGGCTGAGTAAGTTTTAAATAATAATCTCTTTTCATCTTATAAATTCACAATATGTATTGAAAAAAAAAAAAAACATTTAGGCTTCTTTTTCACGCAAATCCCAATGTGGGACGGCTGAGGGAATTTCTCTAAACTTTATGGTATGATATGACATCATCACTCCAGAAGGCCTTTGTGAGTTAACCTATGTCTGCTGGACAAACAGGTATTCCAAGTAAGATTGGATTGAAATGGCCATTTAGGGTAGTCTTGTTTCTGATTGGCCAGGGAACGCCGTGTGAAGTGGAGTGATGATCTCATTGGTTGATGATAGGTTGATGTTTGTCTGCTCTTGTATTGATTTCACTGCTGATCGCTGAGCAGATATGACTTGCCTTACAAAGCACAATCTATTTAAGCAGCTATTATCCACAAAAGTTCCAATATATGCATGTCTTCTTTTATTTTGTTAACTACTGTGAGAGGCTTTTTCCCATAATGCCTTTAAAGACTAAGAGGTACTGCTATTGAAGTTCTGAAGTTGAAGTTTTTTTTTTTTTGTTTTTTTTTTTAAATACGTAGTACAGTTACCGGCACAACAAAACAACTTTTGGTACTAAAATATAGTTAAACTCTTTATCGGAATTTTTCTGATCCCCCATAGATCTCAACATACATATTGTTTTCCCGACATCTAGAAATTACTAATTGTCTTAGAATAAAGATGTTGGTCTTGCCGGTAATGATAATAAAACCTACAATTGCAGACGGGACACGGGGTATGTTTGGGGTCCCACCCGCTGTAGGGGCACTGACTCTCTGCGTCCCCGGCAGGTGCGAGCGGCTGGAGGAGCAGCTCAACGACCTGACAGAGCTCCACCAGAATGAGATCCTGAACCTGAAGCAGGAACTGGCCAGCATGGAGGAGAAGATGGCCTATCAGTCTTATGAACGAGCTCGCGATATCCAGGTCGGCAGCTGGCCCACTGTAATGTCACCTTGCATAGCTGCAGAACCAGTTCCTCACTTTTCCAAGAAGCCTGGGAACAAAAATAGGCCACATAGTTACAAACTCATAACTATCTTTGCGTTGAATGTTTTGAAGTCCGTCTTTTTTGTTGGAAAAATATGCAAGTACTATCCTGACATAATTATCCAGTAACAGTGACAGAGTTGACTAGTTGATAACCCTCTCACCTCTAGCCTCTGACATGTGCTTACCAATTGCTAGATATCGCTATCGTCCACTACAGTGTAGCATGAATTGTCCAAATTTTAACTTAAATCTGAAAATTATAGGTGAGAAAATGGAGCACAGGGATTACCATGGAGGGGATGCCAGTCCGTCACAGGGCACAAACACTCACACAGTACAGACAATGTAGCGATAACATAACAGGTTTTTGCTACATTGTGGGGAACATTTGGTCCCCACAATGTAATATAAACATAATCCACAGACATATGCACATACACACACATACATTTACATTCATATCTTTGTAAGGACTGTCCAGTGAAAAACCCTAATCCCAACAACGATAACCGTAACCCCTACCCAGTGCTAACCTTAACTATAAATAACCAAACAAAATACAAGACTTAACTTTTTTAGTTTTTTGTACGATTGTACGATTTTTGTACAACATCAAAATAACAGGTTTTTGTCACAATGTAGGCGAATCAGAGTAAACTTTTTCTGTTTTAGACCAATAAATATTAACATTTTTTGCATTTGTTAAATGTTAGAATAAAGAGAGAATTTCATGGATTTTTTTTATTACTACTTTCATCAGTCAAAAATTTACATGCACTTCCTTAGTATTTGGTAGAATTGCCCCGAAACTGTTTCACTTGGGCCAGACGTTTTGGGTATCCTTCAACAAGCTTTCTACAATAGTTTGCTGGAATTTTGCTGGAATCCACTCCTCTTGACAGAACTGGTGTAACTGGGTCAGGTTACACCCAGGTTACGGCCTTCTTGCTCACACTCGCCGTTTCAGTACTGCCCACAAATTTTCTATGGGATTGAGATCAGGGCTTTGTGATGGCCACTGCAATACCTTGACTTTGTTGTCCTTAAGCCACTTTGTCACTAATTTGGAGGTATGCCTGGGGTCATTGTCCATTTGGAAGACCCATTTGCGCCCAAGCTTCAACTTCCTGGCTGATGTCTTCAGATGTTACTTCAATATATCCGCATAATTTTCTTTTCTCATGATTCCATCTATTTTGTGAAGTGCACCAGTCCCCTCTGCAGCAAAGCAGCCCCACAACATTATACTACCACCCCGATACCTCATAGGTGGGATGGTGTTCTGAGGCTTCAAAGCTTCCCTCTTTTTCCTCCAAATATACCGTTTATCATTATGGCCAAACAGTTAAATTTTTGTTTCATCAGACCACAGGACATGTCTCCAGAAATTGAGTTTTGTCCCTATGTGCAGTTGCAAACTGTAGTCTGGCTTTTTTATGGGTGGTTTTGAAGTAATGGCTTTCTCCTCCCAGAGTAACCTTTCAGCTCATGTCGGTACAGGACATGTTTTACAGTGGATAATGACACTGTCTTATCAGTTTCAGCCAGCATCTCCACAAGGTCTTTTGCTGTTGTCCTGGGGTTGATTCGCACATTTCGCACCAAACAACGTTCCTCTCTGGGACTCAGAATCCGTCTCCTTCCTGAGCGGTATGATGGTTGTGCATTCCCATGTTTTTTATACTTGCGTATTATTGTCTGAACGGATCAACGTGGGACCTTCAGGCATCGGGAAATTGCACCTAAGGATGAGCCACACTTGTGGAGGTCCACAATTCTTTTCCTGATGTCTTGGTTGATTTCTCTTGATTTTCCCATGATGTCAAGGAAAGAGGATCTGTGTTTGAGATGTGTCTTTATATGCATCCACAGGTGTGCCACCAATTAACTCAAATGGAATCAATTAACCTATCAGAAGCTTCTTAAGCTCAGAATGGAATCATCTGGAGTTTTCTTTTTGTTTAAAGACACAATTAATTTAGTGTATGTATACTTCTGACTTTGATGAAAGTGATAAAAAACTACAAAAAAATCTTTCTTTATTCTGACATTTAACAAATGCAAAAAATATATTAATATTTATTGATCTAAAACAACAAGTTCACTCTGATTTAATGTTTGACAGTAAAGAAAAAAAAGTTTTTGTGTTTTTTTCTGAAGTGTATGTAAATATCTGGTTTCAACTGTACATATGCACTCACACACACAGCAGAGGCAGGGTTGGAGGTGTGAGGCAAAAGTACAACCTACTCAGTGCCCATGACATTAACTAAATCAGGAATGTCCAGTTAACGAAATACCTGATAATTGCAAAGTCAGTTTAGCTTATTGTCATTAGCTTGTACGGTCATGGGTCTGAGCAAGTGGAATATTTTGTCCGTGTGTGGTAGTGGTTGCCTCAGTTTGAGTCTTGTGTATTAGTGCTGGTGTCCATGTCATCTTCTACTCCAAAATTGTGCCAGGTAAAATGGCCATCACCTTATCTGAGTCTGTTCATCTCTTCGTTACTTAGCTGGCCGCTCACGTGCTGAAGTCTACGTGACCGTCTTCTGGTTGCCTCTTCAGCTGTAATGGCTCTTTATTGTAATAGTATCACTGTTTTCAGTAAATACACATATGATCCCTATTAAACAAAAGTCAGATCGTGTTCCCCATGAAACGTGCCCTTTGTGTCCCCATCCTTGACTGTCTCTGTTGGGGATGATCTGTACTGCCAGCCACATGCATTTGACTTTAGTGCATTCCCTTGGGTGGTGGCGCTCATTGGCTTCGGTGATTGTCCCCATTGTAAAATCGGCTGTTGTGCCTCAGAAATCTGTGGTGTTGAATTACAGCCGAGGAGGAGAAATGTGGCTTAATACTTGTGGAATTTATTTGAGAAAACACAGGTTGAAAGCAGTGTCTGAGTGTGAGGAACCCTTTCCCCTACTGTGTGTGTGTGCGTGTGCGTACGTGCGTGCGTGCGTGTGTCTGGGTGTAAGGAACCCTTTTCCCTACTGTGTGTGTGTGTGTGTGTGTGTCTTGGTGTAAGGAACCCTTTCCCTTGGTCAGCATTGGTCAAGGCCTCATTTTCTGTACAGGTGGTTATTTTGAGCTTGTGTGCTGCCCTTGCTGGCTCTCTGTCCACATTGTCTGTTTATATCAGGATATGGGCCACTTCCATCTTACCCTTACCAAATGATAGTTAGGCTTCCCAGTGGAGCACATTCGTGGTAGAGCATCAGGTCTGGTACTCTGGAAAGGGTCCCTGCTTGGTGAAATAGCACAAATAAATTTCTCAGGAATTCTGGTCCCTGTGTTGTATATGTGATAGCACAAGTAATTTTAATAAAACAATCCAGTTGAGCACAACTATTGTTTCCAATTTAAAGGGAAGTAGCACAAATTTGTTGACAATGCCCCTCAGAGCGGCAGGGTTAGCAGCAATGTTGGCTGGTTGTGTTTCAGAAAAGCATGGCTAGTATTGGCACAAGCCCTGGAGTTGACTGTTAAGTGTGAGTCCAACGAATCTAACGGCGCTTCTGTGTGTGTCCTGCAGGAGGCGCTGGAGGCCTGCCAGACGCGCATCTCCAAGATGGAGCTCCAGCAGCAGCAACAACAGGTGGTGCAGCTGGAAGGCCTGGAGAACGCCACGGCTCGCACTCTCCTGGGGAAGCTCATCAACGTGCTGCTGGCTGTCATGGCCGTGCTCTTGGTGTTCGTCTCCACAGTGGCCAACTGCGTGGTGCCCCTCATGAAGACGCGCAACCGGACTTTCAGCACTTTTTTCCTGGTGGTCGTGCTGGCGTTCCTCTGGAAGAACTGGGAGGCCATTTCAGGATACATGGACCGCTTCCTGCAGCCCCCCAGATGACCGGCTCGGGCACCTGCGGGGGGGCAGACTGGTGGGAGGAGCCAAACACCCGATCAAACAATCTCTCTGATGCTGAGGACAAGCAGCGTGGAAGCCACAGAGCACAATAACACTGTGGCAAGAGTGGAGAGAGGAGATGAAGCAAGGGGATGTTTATATTTAGATTGTGTTTTCACAGAAAGGAGTGGATTTGTTTACAGTTTGTTTTTTTTGGGGAGGGGGGGTGAGGTCGCAAAATTAATATTATTATGTAATATTATTTTATTTCCAGAAATTAATCACGTTATGTTTTTGTTATAAATATTATAATGATAATTATTATTATTACTACTACAACTACTACTGCGTTTGATTTGGTTGACATGTAGCATTGCGCGCTCATTCCCACACGTTTCTGCCTGCCCCCCCATCCCTCTCAGCCTTACTCCCCCACCTTTGATCTCATGCACTTCTTCTTCGGCTGGGAAGTGCGTCCTGCAAAAAAACAAGCACATTCCGCAGTGACCTAAACAAGGATTTGTTTTAATTTATTTATACCCTCCGCTTCCTATTTCCCAGTTTCCTGTAACCGGAGTGGATCTTCACCACAGGGTGTGGCTCTGATTGTCTGCGACTGATGGATGGAATTTTAGATGAAGAAAAATTTGGAGCGGAATACCTGAAGGAGATGGTTTCTTTGTTTTTGGGGAATAAGACCTCTCGTGATTTTTACCAACACCTGGTTTGGAGAAGGATAAATGTCCTTTAAAGACTGCTCTATTTTCCCACAAGCAAAAAAAATAGAGACAAAAACACGAACATACTTGAAGAGCAGAATGCTCAAAGACTCAGTGCTTCCAGACTGTTTTAATATCCGTAAAATAGTCGTTTTTATTTTATTTTTTATTTTTTAAGAGGGGGAGAAAATATTTAAATTAAAATGAGTGAATAATTTATAGCACAGAAGGCCATTGTAAGGGTAGTGAGAGCAGAGGCCCTGGGCCATCAGAAAGAGACCCCCTCTGGATCTCGGGAGTTCAGGGGATCTGGGTGCAGTGTTTCCATTCTTGCCATGGAAACAGGTGTCCCTGCAGCCTGTGCTTTCTTCCGCTGGCCCATCGGCGTGCTGTGCTGCCCCTTCATCCCACCAGTCCGAAGGAGGGCTACTGTGAAAGATGTCAGCCGGTTCAGTATTGAGGCAGGACCTGTGCAGTGCAGTCAGTGTTGACTGAGTGCCGGGGCGTTGAGTGGTCAGCACCGTGGTCTAGTGTTACAGATGTCAGCGTAAATGTTCTTCAGGGCAGCCCACGTGTCACACCAAAGGCTGCCATTCACTCAATGTAGAGTTCATGTTGTTGCGTTCATCACTCCCTGTGCCAAAATTTTAAAAACATTAAATCGTACTGGTGATAGCGTGTTACGTGGTGTGTATGCGCTGTAAAGATTCCAGCTAGATGGTGGCTGATGTTTACAAAGAAGGCTTGTACTGTCTGACAGATGAAGTTAAGGTAATCTGCGGAGCTGTTTTGCTGTCGTGCCTGAACTCAATGGCCATTAATGCAGTGGTGAATGTCACAGCGGCTTAATGGCCCCCGAAAGCTCCTCCCCCCCCCAACAAACATGCACTGCGAGTTCTGCCAGTGTGATCACTGCAGCCGTCATATCGGTTGCTAAAGCCATGACCTCAGACCCTAAAAGTACACATCACCTGCTCTTTGTACTACCAGTTAGGGACCTGGCCGTCCTGCTGGCCTTTTATTACATACGATAGCAGGAACTTGGCAAACTTGTTGGGGAAGGAGATAAGACGCCCTTTAGGGTTCTTTTATGGCGACGCCTCAGCCGCTTGATTGACCCGCTGCAGCTGTGAATTCCCGGCATGCTTCTGTATCCGAGCCCTGGTGCTGAGCAAACGGCAGACGCTGGTCTTTCTGGTGGCCCAGGTGCAATAGGTTGCATGAGTGAACGGGGGCCCTGCTATTGTCCCGGGGCATCAAATTGGGGAAGGGGGAGGGGGGCAGGGGGGGGACTTTCAGTGCCTTCTGTTCTTTTATAATTGTGTGAATAATAAAGTCAAGCATTCCTGATTTATCTGCTGAGACAGTATCTTTTTTAAGCGAATAATAAATTAAGGATGTGGGCTAATAGGTAGTATTTGCTTGGTGTTGCACAGTCATGCACCTGTAGTTTGTCATTGTGTACATATGCAGAACCAGATGGATGGAAACCAAAAGTACTTGTTCTCACGTTCGGCAAACACTGCAAAGCAGGTTCTCGCGTCGCTTGGTGTTTTCTGCTTTGCTTGTTCAAAATGGATGGATGGAGCTGCTCTGTGGGTGTCCATTCCTGACACAGGAGCCTTCCTGCGGGGCAGTGCACACACCCTGCTGTCTGTGTCGCACGCATCAGTCAACGTGGGTGGTCATTCTACCCCAAAACCAGCCCGGAGTTTGCAGCAAGGTCAGGTCAAGACACGTGGAGTTGTAACTTATGCCAAATCGCGACGGGGCTGGGCTGGGCTGGGCTGGGTGTGTGTGTGTGTGCGTGTGTGTGTGCGTGTGTGGGCGTGCGTGCATGTGAGTGAGTGTGATCCCACCAAATGTGCCAAGTCTTCGTTTGCAAAAATCCCATTCTTGAAGCTTGTCTTCAACACTTGACATGGCTGCAGTTTTTTATCATGCAATAGGTCAGCTCAGTTTTATCTTTTTTTTTGTTTTGTTTTCCAGATCAGGTGGTGATGAAGTTCTTAGACAGGAGCCTTGGGTACGGAGGCATCAGCAGACAAGAAGGAAAACAGCAGGGCAACTTAAGGCCTCCTCTCCTACGTTTCTCTCTTTTATTGCTTATTAATTGCTCATGTTAGTGGTGATTCGAGGAAATACCAGGCAGCATCTTGTGAATCAAACATCCTAAATAGCCAAACTCAGAAAGAGGCAAAAAAAATAAAGATACTGTCTCAAAAATCCATGTTGTCATCTCCATTGCAATAGCTTTTATGGCCTTGACTCGAGACTCAGAAGTATCCCGTCAGTCGCTGGTTGTGATAGTATTTAAAGAAACTCAAGCTAGCCATGTGTTCGTGCGTGTCGTGGACAAGCTGGCTCGCTGCCAGCAGTACCGTAGGTCTTATAGCTAATCGCTTATGTATGACTTACAAAACAGAAAAAAAACAAACGGGCTTGACAGTGGGGCGCCGAAATGGCGCTTTTTGAAGTAACTAGTTTTAGCATTGAAGCTGCTATCTGTAAGGGAAAGAAGATTTATATTCATGTCTTGTTGCAGTCTGTCAAAGCATCTGTAAAATAAATTAAAAAGGAAAAAAATAAGAACTTCAGTTGTTCATTAATATGGTGCAGCTCCTTTTGCAGGGAGACCTTCTCTATATCTGAAAACTGTTTGTTAGGTATTCCTGGATCTGTGCTTTCTGTCTTAAAGGTGATACATGCCCAAAATTTAGGTTCTTATGAAATATGTCAAGTTGACAACTGTTTAGAATACAGTAAGATGATCGTTATTGTTGTACGTTAGCATTTCAACGATGGTCGATTTAATTGCAACTGGTAATACTGACTCAGAAAATCAACTTAAAGTAGCCAGTATATTTAGGTCGTATCCTGGAATTAATCTTTTTTGTGGGGTGGGGGTGTATTTTGCGCTTTATCGGTGTATCGTCATAGCTGATTTGGGGGCGTGTTTTCCTTGAATATTTTTGGGGCTCTACTGATAACTCCAGGTTCCTCCCACGGTTGAATAACGTCCGTGTGCTATCTATTCTAAGGTTAACACATTCCACGCTAGATGGCGCTATTACTGTAACTATCAGTGATGCGCGGGTCAATGTATAAACAACCCGAACCCGACCGACGTTTTCAATAACCCGCCCGCAACTCGGACCGCAAAAAAATATATATATATATTGTACCCGACCCGCTTCCTGACCCGCATTTTTTTTTATAGCCTAGTGTTATGTAATAAAGGCTTGATTTATTAATTTATTTCATTTCATTTTCTTAATTAAGATGCTGCATGTGTTTATCCAGTCTAATCGAAGTGTGCGTCTCTCCCCCGACTTTCCCAACAAAATCCCACCCCCTCTCAGAAAATACATAAAACTGACATTACTGAGCTATATGCGTTTAAAAGTAACCTATTAAAATGATTCAATGGCATTGCTCAGTTCAACGTGTTGGGAAATTGGGAATTTTGTCCCGCATCAGCATTTATTCAACAATTAATAACGCTCAACATTCAAAAGGTAAATAAGGATTACCTACTTGTATTAGTAGGCTTAGGCTATTTCGCCACGTGGATGCCCAATTGAAGCTCTCACAAGCACAAAATACAGGCATAGAATATGTTAATAAAGTCTTTATTAACGCATTTTAAACGAACAAAAACAGGTAGGCTAAACCAAAGACTGAGGCTACAATATCCATAAATAAATGTTCACAATAATTGGCATCTTTATTTCAAACGACCCGACCGACCGCGACCCGAATATCATTAAAAATATTTTTGGATGACTCGTAACCGCGGGTGACCGCGGGCACCCGCTCATTTCGGGTCAACCCGCGCATCACTGGTAACTATATACTGTATGTGTTTCTGCTTGGCAACTTTCAAGATGAAATATTCAGTCTATCTATCCATTCATCCATCTATCCATTTTCAATACCCGCTTGTCGTGTGCAGGATTACGGGAGTTCGGAGCGTGTCCCGGGAGCGACGGACGCAAAGCAGGGAATAACCCAGGACGGGGTGCCGCGCACACGCACAGGTGGCCAATCTGTAAACTACAATTCACCTCAGTATGTTTTTGGAGTGTGAGGGAGAAACTCCACGACAACACGGGGAGAACATGCAAACTCCACACACATACTGTAACTTAAACTTCACTGCCATAATATATAATATAATTAATTAAATATATTAAACGTAGATGAAAATCAGATGTGAACATTTAAGTGTGTCTTCACTACAGTGATTAATGAATTATTGAATAATTTGGTTATACTGTAAATTGAGAATTTACATACTGTCACCAGCAGATGTCCTTCTACTCCCAGGCTAACAGAGACTGGAGAGCCTGTGAATTACAGGTTGGTTACTTGGTTGCTGTTCTCACCCACACTTCGCTGCGCAGCTCATCTGTTGCATTATGTGCTCAGACAGGCACGTGGACAGTGAGAAGACTGAACAAAAGGCCAATGCTGACATGAACTCTGTGGTCTGTCTGTGCATGTAGGAGGTACAGAATGAACTTGGAAGAGACTAGCAGAAGATATTCTGACTAGTCCTCGTTAAAATATAAAATTATAATAATGTGTGGATCCAAGTTGACGGCTCACTGCCAAAACCGCCAGGCATACACAACTTCGGTTGTCTTGGCAGAAATATGGAGTGAAACATAGTAAACTAATCTTTGGCTTGGATTTCAGGGATTGTTTCTATGTGTTATCAAGCCTAGAATAAAGCCAGAACACCCTCAGGCTGAAACTCTTATCATACTAAAATCATCCCAATTTATTGTCACACATGTTCGTCTCTATTCGATAATTACATGTTAAGCATGCCTCTAAGATGGGGTATTCTAATTATAAAAGCTATAAATAACCCGCCCGTGGCCTGTCCTTGACGATTTACTCGTACATGTTGCTAATTCAGTGTCCTTTTTGGTATTAATGAAATCTTAACGCAGAATAACCTCCAGATTCCTTGCTGACAGAAGCCTAAGAGGTCTTTGTTTTATCTAGGAGGAAGCAGCCTGGGAGGGTCGAGAGCTTTACTCCCAGGCCACTCATCTCCGTCACGGAGCGGATAACCAGGCGCTGTTTTCAGAGACAACAAGGAAAAGCGGCAGACTAACTCTCCCCACCGGTCACTTGGGACAGAGTGGCAGGATGTAGCCATCCGCTCTTCAGTCTCAATGTTCACACACTGGGGATTTTTCTGCTCTTTTCCTTAAGTTTAAACATAAAACTAATTATATTTATAACATACAACACTAAGACAGAGACCTTTCTGAAGCATGTCGGTGCAGCGTGAGACACGCCAATCTATTACCCAACAGTCATGTCTCCTCTTCCCCCTGTCTGACGTCATGAGTCAGCAGCTGACTCCGTTGCTTAATGCTTACAGACAGGTACAGGTAGGTGATAGCCGAGATCTTAAACACTCATGTAGACGACACGCCAAACCCGACACAGATGACTACAGCTGCAATGCAGTGTTAAGAATGATGGGTGCTTAACTTTGTGATCATCTATATGCGGAAACTCCCTGGTCCGTGGTGATCAGACTCCGTGTATCTGGCTCATTGCTCAGGGGTCCCCAAACGACCGTGCTGAAAACGATGGGGGGTTGGGAATTCCAAACATAAACTACTGTATATATTTGTAGGCCACGCCGTT